ATGCTGAAATAAATTGGTTAGTCTCTAAGGTGCCACAAGTCCTCCTTTTCTCTTTGCAAATACAGACTAACACGGCGGCTACTCCAAAATATGAAGCAGTTAGTATCACAGGGTTTACTACTTACTGCTATGGCTTATGGCTTATCTGGAGATTAGTTCTCAACTGGTCTGATGTCCCCTCCTTTGGTTGTTCACCCTGCGGTGTCTCTTGCTCTCTGGATTCAAGTTACTCCCTCTTCACAACTCAGCCCAGGTCACTATCGTACTCCCCTGCTGGGGTTATGAAGGCACACCAGCCAAATGATCTATCTGCAAGCTGCGGCGCTCTTCCCAGCCACTTCCCAGATTGTACCACTTTCCCAGTAACCAGGAGAGTAATCCAGGCCCATCTACTCTGGGTTCTAACCTACACACACTATGTCCAGCAATCAGGGTCTACTCAAGCTCTGACCCCGTAATGATTTCCCTAAACTCTTTCCTACCTCTCCACGTACCCTCTCTTACCACCAACTTCCTCTCTTTATAAGCCTGGCCCAACTCCTCCCACAGCTGGGCTTCATCAGCCATTAGGCCTTATCAGTCCTTGGCTCCCCTCCAGGTGCAGCATGTTGGCTAATTGGCCTATTTTATCTATTCAGGGTTTGTATAGGATGGACACCCCATCACAGATGGTCATTACCTTGTATTCCTCAAGGAAAATGCTGTGCTTAGAGAAAGAATGAAATGAACAGACCTCAAAGGGTTGGTTTGTCTTGTTTCTACATGCTTGGTACATCTGAAAAGATGTTCTCTGTTGCAAACTGGACAATGATGTGGTGCTGTCAGACAGGAGTAACTAGCAGGAGAGATAAGGTGGGTGCAGTAATATCTTTTATTGAACCAACTTCTGTTGGTGAGAGAGAAAAGCTTTAGCTTCAGGTCAAGATATTACCTCACCCACCTTGTCTAATATCCTTAGCCCAACACAGCTACAACGACACTGCATACAGCAGAAGAGATGTCATTTTCCAAGTAAAACAGCATTTCTCATTGATTTTTCCTAGTACCCTAAGCTGAGCTCTTACGCCTTTTCACTGAGTACATTGCCCTGTTCATTATGGATCTTGAATACAAGAGCTTTTGTACCAATTTATACAAACAAGCTTGCAAACATGGCTAATGGGCCCAGCTGAATTTGGTGGGAGAACTTTGCTTAGTTGCTGAGACTTATGAGAATAAAGTCTCCACCATCTTTCTGGAGACATTTGCAAAACTGGAGCATTAAAACACCTTCAGCCTCCAGGCTGCATCTGCAGTATCATAAATTACCTACAGCATTCCATGGCATAAAAGCTTGAGAAAGCAACAAAAAGCTGCACAGTCCTGACTGCAGCAGTGTCTGCATAATCACTCAGCTGAGTTCACATGTCTGATCGGAGACATTCCATACCTTACCACAGGCTTCTCTGATATAGAAAGCCACAGACCCTCTGTGGTGAATTCAGCCTGGCCCCACAGCTACAGCAGCTTTGTTTTACCCACTCTGTGGAGAGCCAAAAGGGGTGGGGTTTTCATTCCAACCCCCTAATGAGTCCCTCCACACCCAAAAGTGATCTTTGCTCAGTTCACCAGGGCTAAAACACTGCCTTACATGGCCTTTGAAACATATCTCACATTTTAAAAATTAATCTGTGCTGGATTAACTGATGCAGAAGCTCTGGGCACAATGCCGGAATGATGTTTACATTAGAGAAAATGGACCTCACAGAGATAGTTTGCAAATATCACAAGGCAAACTTGTGTAAACTCCCATAGTTTAGTCATCTTTTTCCATCTGTCATAGAATTTAAAAGTGATATTCAAAAACACAGGAAATTACTGTATATTCTAAGTGCTCTTGATTGGACTCATTGGCTGTTGTGAAAGATTCACATCTTTATAACCTCCCACATGATTCTTTGCAAGTACTTCTTTAATTGTGTTCTTCTAGCAGACATACTGTCTATACTGCTAGGAAATTTATTACTACTGTTTCACACCACTGTGAAATAACTTTATTACTAACTGAGTATACTGGATTTTGTCTTCATAAAATAAGGATTGCTCCACTTCTTATGAATTGCATGGAAATGGGTGGACAATACAAGAGAACAAATACATTTGAGATCTTTAGCATAACTGTGGTATTCATTTAATAAAAAACATCTGAGATTTCATAGCAGTTTAACTGTCCATTGAAATGAATCATTCATTTTGATAACATTTACCCAAGTTTCTATATCTGGACATTGGTCTAAGTAACGTAAACCTGTGTCAGACTGGAGGGATGTATTAGCTGACCTATGCTGTCCCTTCCAGCCCTATATTTCTATGATTGTAAACTAAAAATTGCTTTTAGTTACACCACTGGATTTCCTCTTTATTTCAGGAAGCCAGTGAGATTGCATAGGTGTAACTGAGTGCAGAATTTAGCCTGGTTTCTCCACTTAAAATATTGGGCTAGATTTACCAATACTAGTCTCTGCCTTTAGGTCATTCTGGTAACATAAATTAGCCGTAAACCCAGTTTAGCCAGATAGTTAAACCAGCTTTACAACTGGTTTGTATTGCCAGATTGGCACAAAGCAACCAGAATGTCTGGGTGAATCTATCATATCGGTTTAATTCTCCTTTTAAACACTCTCGTCTTCCTGTATCTTTGAACTTGTTCATTGTCTCTGCTGTGCAGAACTGGATCTTCCAATAAGTATGGCAGCTAATAGCACCGCACTGACTAAAAGTTCAAGAGTTTGAATCAAAGGGAAATTTGGTAAGATGGAAAATATGGTAAAAGAGGAAAAGAAAGAAGAATGACCATGGGGTGATGAAACATAAGAACATAAGAGTGGCCATTCTGAGTCAGACCAATAGTCCATCTAGTCCAGTATCCTGTCTTCCACCAGTGGCTGTTTCAAAGAGAATGAACAGAACAGAGCAATTATCGAGTGATCCATCCCTTGTCATCCAGTCCCAGCTTCTTGCAGTCAGATGTTTAGGGCCACACGGGGCATGGGGTTGTGTTCCTGACCATCTTGGCTAATAGCCATCCACAGACCTATCCTCCATGAACTTTCTAACTCTTTTTTGAACCCTGTTATACTTTTAGCCTTCATGACATTTCCTGGCAACGAGGTCCACAGGTTGCCTGTGAGTTGTGTAAAGAAGTACTTCCTTTTGTTTGTTTTAAACTTGCTGCCTATTAATTTAATTGGGTGACCCCCTGGTTCTTGTGTTATGTGAAGGGGTAAATAACACTTCCCTCTTCACTTTTTCCGTAGATGAAAACAGCAGTTTCTCTCAATCTTTTGCTCTGGAGGGGATCATCTCTAGTGGTGAAAGCCTAGCTCAGCTTTCATGGCTCATTCAGCTTTTGCCCCCTCTGCTGAGACTGCCCTCCAGCTTACCAATTAGTGCCAGTTATGCTGGTGATTTCAGTGATATGGACACTTGTCCTCTGCCCATAATTAAATGCTCGCACTGCATGCACTTCAAACACCTAAACAACTTCCATTCTGACTATTTTTCCAAGTTATCCTCATAGAAGTTGTACAATGTAAACTCTTTAACAAATACAATAAGTATGAATGAAGCGCAATAGTGTTACTGTGTATGTTTTAGAAAAGAAGTGCAGTACTTTTTTCAGCTGAAATATACTATACCTTTCAGTGGGAAATGTATAATCTATTGGGAAGTGATCCTGGAGGTAAAACAGCACTTTTATTCTTATCAACAGTAAAATAGACATAGCAACAGAAACATCTTGTTCCGTTTCTATTTTCTGTTGTATTCTAAGACTTGAGATATAAGCATAGAATTGCCTCAATGCTTTATAATATTATATTCTATGAGTAAAGTATCTTTTGGTGCAGAAGAAAACAATTCCTCAATAGATAAGAAGTTCTGACCAGTTCTCTCAAGCAGATAGACTGGTATCAAGTTGGGGAAGATGCATTAAGCTCCACATAAAACATAAAAGAGAAGGGAATGAATATGATCTTGAAAAGAATCAATTGTTGGAAACTTGTGCTAGGAACAAAGGTGCCTTTGGTACTGAATAGTCACAGGGAAAAGACCCTGTCTCCTTAATATAACTTAAAGCACTACAAAACAAAAATGAAACTACAAAACCCACTATGAATCTCTAAGCTGAAACTCACAACAATAGCTATTATATTTTTGACAGTTTACCCAGGTTGCTTCAGATATACTTCTCTTTTTCTCTTTAACATAACAATAGTTTGTCCCTTTGAAAAACAAATAGGAATGTTTAGTACACTGTTGAGTTCTACATATTTCCTTTCAGCACTTGTTATAGTTTGTAAAGAAGGGTCAGGGGACAGACATAAAGGAACACTTAAATTCACATTGCTGTTCTCAGAGAACGGATAAAATAACACCATCTTTGTATAAATTCTGATAGGTCTTAATTTTGTCCAACATTTAGACATACCAAGGTGGTAGGTGGCTTAGAAATACATTTTATATACAGAGATAATTATAGAATTGTTTCAGATAATTCCACATTTCAACAGAGTGTAAACAAGACCCATAAATTAATGCCATGGCATTATGGCTTCATACATTGGATGCAGTTTTCTCAAATGGGCCTGACTGTGCAGAGTGCAGAATACAATGGGACTTGATGGCATTCAGCACCTCACAAGTGGTCACCACTCTGCATGACTGGGCCCTAACAGAATACTGTAGTTTGCAACGTTTGGCCCAATTCTGTCCTTAGCTCTACCCGTACAATCCCAGATGTCAGCTCCTATGCCGCAAACAAATCTTTTACATTTGTCGGCATATCTTAAAATTCTGTTCCAAAGTGTTCTAAAAATGGTCAGCTTAGACTTCTGTATTGGTCTGCATCTGTGGTAAAAGAACTGATTGTAATTTAAACCTTTTCAACAATGGAACAATTTGATTAAATGATATTTCCTTGGGGAGGGATTAGGGGACGAATCCAACAGCCATTAAAGATGTAAAATCAAAATGAATTTTGGTCATTTTAATAAATATATACCAAGGAAACCTCACTTTACTACAACAACACGTTAGCATACAAGAATCTAATATCTATGCTTAAAACATCAAATGTTTATCAAATACTGAAAAAAAGAGCAGATATTACTAGACTAACTGGGTATAATACAAGAAAATCAGCTTTTAAATAATTGGTCCTTGTGGACAAACGTTTAAATGATGATCCTACTCATACACTGTATGAATGAGATCTATATTTTATATTATTATTAATAATAAAAAAGCTTCCGTCTTGGAGAAATCAGGCTTAATCCATATTTTCTCTATTTGTTGTTCGATTCCTGTTACAGTGATAACCCTTACAAACATGGCAGTTTTGTCTTAGATCACTAAATAATGGTTATCTCAGTTTTTTTTAAAAATTCCCTAGGAATTCAATATGCTTCCTGTAGGAAATACTGCAAATATTGAGGTAACTTTATTTAACTACATATCTAAAGCAGTTGGTGAGCTTCCAAGAATGACCAGTGGAGGTATTGATGAAAGATGCCCAATTTGTAATCTTGACTATGGGGTACACATATTACCTGCCATAATGAAAAATAACGGCAGAGGAGGATTAAGAGAGACTCTTTGGAATCCATGGCCTACATTCTAAGAGGAACCCAATGCAGCAGTGAATCAGAATCTGATTCTGCACTAATAAACTCCATAGATATGTCAATGACTTAAAAGAGTGCTGGTCTGTACACTTAAAGTGAAATTTATCCCTGTGCAGAGGCCATCACAGGTCTGGGCACTCCTTAAATCCCATTTACACCCAATTTGGAACTGGGCTGCTTCCGTTCACAGAGATGAATTTCACCCTTAGTGAACAATGGACAGCATGAGCACAGCTAATTGTTCCTAAGGCAAGAACCAACGAGAAAGCGCTATTGTTTGGATTCACAATGTCCCAGTCAGGAACAGGTAGCAATAAGATGTCATCTATGGTTTGGATTTGGCTGGTATGCACAGCACATCCACAGTTGTTCAGGTGGGTGTGGAACCCAAAAATTAGATGGATCCAGGACCCAACATATTCTTAATAACCCCCTGAAAAATACAATGTGTATGTTTTTTAAAATGTGCATTTTAAAATGATGTACCTAAGTATGTCCAAATTTTTTGTCATTAATCATTGAAAGTTCAAGCCCTGTTTCTCCAAAATCATCTTTTTTAAAATTAAAACATTTATTTAAGATCAAATCATATCGCCACGTTATTGATTAACATTGTGCTTTTTGTTTTGTTTTAAATCAACAGCAAAAGTTATATAAAACCCCCACATGCTTTTGCAGTCTAAAAGAGAGAAATTATGCGAAACAGAATAAAGTATAAAGCATGCCATTGGTTCATGAACTTCATTATATGGAAGAATTAAAAAAAAAAGGATCCTCAGCAACAGACAGTTGCCATAGAAATGCTCAAGCATCTAGTGCTTGTTTACAAGACACGTCTCTCTATTGTTTCTTAAATCCCTTCCTAAGGATAGCAAATCAAAAAGCAATCGAGCATCAAAAAGGAAGAATAGCGATGGTTGAATAAGAAGTTGAACTCAGTATTTCAAAGATTACAGGTTTCTAATACTATTGATCCATCCTGTTTTTCTCTGCTTAGGTTAATAAATCCCTGCTGTAGCTCAGATTTTATACTTAATTTTCACGCTGGCAAAAATTAAGATAAAAAGTAAGGCACCAAAAAAACCTGCCCTAGATAATAACAAACCACCATAAGCCTCATTAATTATTACAGCTGAGCTGAAAATGTGCAAGTGATTGAGCTGTAGGTGGTATTTCTGCTTAAGATCCCATAAATAGGTATTTCCTTACAATGCACCCTATCTTTGTCAGTTGTACAAACCTGTTAAATACATGAATTTAACAGTGTCAGTATGAGAGTGTAGAAACTGTTTAATCCCAGTCCATAGTATCCAGTCTTTTGTCACAACAAATATTGTGTTACAAGAAGCAGAGCACCCTTGCTGGTAATATCAATCTGTTTACCAAACATCTAACTAATTGGTAAGCATAATGGAGGTTCCTCTTAATTAATGGCAGACTCCATGTGGGAGGGCATATATAAAAGGGTATGTTTTCCCCATCTGGTTTATTGGTATTTTCAGTAACAAAAAGCTAAACGATAGTTGTAAGCAGTAATTCAACTGTGCTCTTTATGAAGTCTCCATCTTTATAACTAGCTCACTGATGCAGATCATACAGATGCTTTATGCAATCTGCTCTCCAGTCATTTAAAACTATCTGCAATGTCTGTGGCATGATTGTACCCGTTGTACAAAACTATAAAGAATCCATTCAAAATACAATTTTGATAGATAACATGCTGTGCATGCTCCAGAGTTACAGCCAAAGAGGTGGCTCATATTTTACTTCCTTTGCTGCAGCACATTTTATTACTTGGCAAAGATTCCTTTCCCCTTAAGGACTTTTTCCAAGATTCATTTATGTTGCTCTTTTTGTCATTACATCCAGTCTCAAAATAATCATAAAATTTGCCTTTACATTCAAGAGCAAGGTCGCCTTTCATAGGTTCACAGTTTAGAGTGATACCATCTTGATCAGTTTTGTTACCTCCTTTCTCATCATTTAATTTTGCCTTTTCCTGATTACCATGAGACTCGGCATTAGTAATGAATATTTCGTTAGCAAGAACCTGGTCGTCACGCCTGTAAACAGGGGTGCTGCCGATGCCATAATCCACCTGGTGGGAACAACTTGGCAAAGATATAGGGGAGGAGGAGGAAGAGGAGGAGGAGGAAGAAGAGGAAGAAGAAGTCTCCCCATTAGTATTAACAGAGAAGGGTAAATTTAAATAGTGACTGCCACATTCTTGATAAAAGCAGCAAGTATGGAACTTTTCACACTCCTCTTTTGCCATCCGAAGACGTTTTCTATAAGGACAGTCTTGAGCCATAAACCACTCTTGCGATGAGGGACCACCAAAAGAGCAAGCAGAGAAGCACCAATTGTTTTGCATGACAATTTCTCCATGGATTCTCTTCATTAAATTGTTTATGAGGACGGATCTCCGTAGGTAGACTTCGGGATCATCGATAAATTTCAGTTTTTCCAAAGACATGTAAAGAATGTGTGCCCGCTCCTCAAAAACAGAAACTGTCTGAAAACGAAAGAGAAGAGGCAAAAAAAGGGGTTAGAGTGTTTTGCTTTATGCAATAAGAAGAATATTGAGCAGCCTATTGGCAGTATGTAAATCCAGCTAACATTTTGGATAGGCCAAATTTCCTCGGGGATCTCAGCTTGGCCTCTGAATTTGTGCACCCATGCATTTAGGGACCCTATTTTTCATGGCCAGAATGTCAGATGTGCACCCATACTGGGGAGACAAATAGCTACGTGTTTGATATGTGTAGGCAAACATTATCTGCATGCACAAATCCAGGTTTGACTGACCCAACATTGAATGTGAAAAGCTGGCTCTTTAGTTGCATCCTGTGTAAACTGTAAAGCTACTGTGCAATTTCTCTGAAATGTTTTAGCTGATGTGGTTTTTTATGTGAATGGAGCAGGGAGCAGGCCCTATTCACTGTTGGGCTTCACCAAAGCCACCAGACTGAAGGGAGGCTTCCTCCTGCATGCCCTCCATACCAAAGGCCTGCTAAGGAGAGCAAGGCCAGCCAGTAACAACAGTGCAGATGGAATGAATGTCAGAACTGCCAATGAAATAGGCCTCCACAAGGAGGAGTCTCTATTAGTCAAAACGCTTTTACCACGCTATTGTGTGGAAAAATGTTGGCCGTGTGGTAAAAACAATCAAATATCACTGCAGCATCTGGAGTGCAGCTGTTGAGCTGAGTACTACACCCAACAATCCCTGGGTCTAGTGGGAACAAGGTCAGGAAACTAGAAGAGGCTGGGGAATTATGGAAAACTCTGGCCACAAGCACACAGATTTGCTCTCCCTTCTAGGCTCCTGCCAGGATTTCCTTCTCAGCATTGGCAGCATGGTCAGGTTACTACTCCCAGGAGGCCATGGGCTCTGCTCTGTGACCTCTACAATGGGAATCAAAGTGCAGAGGGGTAGTGAATGTTACTCCCAGTAGTATTAACTAATTTCCATTTTTAGCACAGAATTTAATCTGCGTAGGAGTGAAGAAACACATCACACAGGCTGCTCTAATTCCCACCATCTGCAGGGGCAGCAAGTTATATGGGCCCATGGTGCCTGGACTCCAGCAAATTCAGGGCCCAGGGGCCCAGCTCCACCAATGTTCGGGGCTGGGTCTCCTCCCAGCCCTGGCTGCCACCCCAGTGCTTCCACCGGAGTGTCCCCCGGCCCCGCCTGCCGCCCCCACGCACTTCCCCAGAGCATCCCTGCCACTGCCGGCTACAAGGGAGTGGCGCTGGGGGCAGGATGAGGCGGCTGCTACACCTGCAGAGGGAGGAGGCCCATATCATCCCTCCCACCCCTGCCCCAGCAGGCAACTCCGAGTCGACTCGGGTGGGGACTTTCCTGGCTGGACGTCCTGAGCAGCAGCCTGTGGGCGCTTGGGTGAGTGTCAGGCCAGGGAGGGCCCCGGGTCTCCCCCTCCCCCAGAGCTCACTGCAGCTGGCAGGAAGAGGGCTGGGGGAGTCCTCCTCTCTGGCCCCGCACCCCAGTCCCAGGGCAGCCTGCTTGCTACACCCCAAACTCCTCATCCCCAACCCAGCGCCATGCCCCACACCCCCTCCTATACACCAACCCTCTGTCCCAGCCCAGAGCCCGCACCCAGCACCCCAGTGTTACACTTGCTTTAACTATTCTATAGACAGAGAGAGGGCTTCAATTTCCAGGACTGTCAAAGTGGTTCCTTTTACAAGCACTAATTCAAACAGATTTTACAATAAAAGAATATATTGGGGGAAGGTTTATCTATATCTCAGCTATTAAATGTACAATGTAGCACTGCCAGAGAAATCAGCCATGATCCAGCAAGGTGCAAGGCAGGGAGCTCAGTACCTTGCAGGACTGAGCGCTTAATAAGCAGGAGCATAAACAGTTTCCCATGAATTGCTAAACACCAATGTATGTGGTCACGTGTCAAATGTAATCTATAACCCCACCCAGGCCCCTTTCGAGAAAAAAAGATGCTGTCTGGGGTTTTAATTTGTTGTTTTGAATTAGGGTTTTTATTTTATAAGTAAGATTCAATTTTGGAGTAGAATATCCTCCCCTTTCCAATAATTCTGTTCCTGTGTAGGATTTACACACCCACCAGGGTATGCTGAGCCGAGCAATCCTGGAAAAAGAGTACTGAAAAAATGGGAGAGCCTGGAGCTTACTTTTGTTAAATTTACATTATGCATTTTTGGTGTGTAAGCTCTAGAGTAACCTCTGTAAACACAGTTTAACTGTTTTATGAATAAAACATGTGAGAAAAGTAAGTTATTCGGAGTGTTTATATTTACTGTTATTATAGCTGAACAAACCCCTTTGTTTCTTAAGCTATGTGATGACAATAATAAAATACAACCAAAAAAGTGTGAACTATTTGTTTCTATGCAAACAGCTGGATTATTCTCATCATTTGGGTGGAGTATGTCAACTTCTGGAAATGAGTCAAGCAAGTGTTACTAAGTATCTGAAATGCTCAGTACAAAAAAAGTCTATTAAAAAACATACTTTATGCGTACAGCTGCTGAGTGGTGGATGAAAATCCTCTTCTTCCACATATTTCCTTTTAAAGTATGTGATCTTGGATGTTGTTATAGGATTTGAAATTCCCCTGTAATGTGATCCTGTGGGTAATAGATCAGATATGACAAATGACATGTGGTTTGCCTGAAGTTCTCCAAACAAAATACTTTTCAATTCCTTTCTCACTACAGGATAAGTCTACCACGTTTGTTTATATATATTTGTAGTGATCACAAATAAACTTTTTACCTTACTAATAAATAACTTATGTGATGCAATAGCATGGGCAATTGAAGATAGACACTATAGACACATTCTGATAGACACTATAGGACATTAGTGCATTTGGCATACTTAGACATTCTCTGTATATTTTTCTTTAATAAAACTTTCATTCTGAATTTACAAGCAGTCCAACAAGTAGTGGCATTCTCCAGTGTATCATGTTCAGATTCCATGGACCGTGATTTACAGAAGAAATTTTATTTTACAGTTCCTAAATATATTCCATACACCTGGAAAAATATTTAGTAGCTTAAAATAATTTTTCAGAAGTTGATCGTTTTGTGTAAAGTCAGAAGTGGACATGTCAAATTACAACTGACTGTAGCATAGATCAGATCAACAAAAGGTAAGAGTCTGTTTCTACCTTTCATGAGAAAAAAGGTAACATATCTTCGGACAAATACATTTTATAGCATCACTCATCATTACTCAATAATTTATTAACTGGCACCCAGAATAGTTACAATCCAAATGTTTATAATATTTTATCTTAACAAAAATCTAAATAAAGATGGCCATGCTTGGACCCCCTTCTCTTCCCCCACCCCACACCAAAATAGACACCATCTCCATAGGAAGCCCAAGCCCTGTTTTGGCCAATAGGAAATTTATTTATGACAAATGCCTTGTTATAATGACCAGTTATGTGCAGGGTTCCTTAAGATCCATAGACAAGAAATGACAACTAGCCAGAATGGCATGACTTTTATCCCTTTGGAGAGTGACTGTAGTATAATATTTCCTGGGCACCAGTCCTCCAATCTATGCATATGCTTCCACAGATGAAATTGAAATGACTGTCCGTTTAGTGTAGCCATCTATTCCCCCCCACCCAGCCATTGCTTTAGGATGAATGAAGGCTTTGCCCGATAAATTGCTGCATGTGGAAGCTGGTTCGAGTGGATCCAGTTCTCTGCCAAAAAAGCACTGGCTTCTTGAATATAGTCAATACCACACTCATGACATTCATTTTGCCCAGAGTACTTTTCCCGTCAGGGGACTGACAGCCCACCCCCACCGTTTGGCCACAGAGAGGCAGAAGGGGAGCCATACCTGCCAGAGAATGACATGGTGCCCTGTCTCCCTGCTGCTGAGGATCCGAGGGGCTAGTCTTGCTGCCACAGTGCGACCCCCACAGGGTCTGGTACTCTGCGATCTCGGCCGCTCCTCCCGAGACAATGGGCTCGCAGAATCTCTGCATGGACAGCACCAGAGTCATTGCTGAGCGCCCGAGACCTGCAAGCAGAACACAACAGCCCGGTCAGCCCGGGGCATGGGCGAGTCCCCCGGCACCGCGGAGGGGGAGCACGGCTTTCCAGGAGGGACCGTCACTGCTTCGCCATCCTCTTCTTTCCCCCCACTTCGTCCTGCCCTCCCGCCACTGCCTAGCCGCTTGCTCTCTCGCCGCGTAATAACGCAGCCCCCAAACTCTCTTGCTCGCACCAGTGTAGGCTCTATCTTGCTGCAGCGGGTACGTCTCTTTCTCCGGCTCTCTCTAGTCCATTGCTTATTGTTCTCCGACTCCCCTCCCCCCGGGCTCCGTTGATCCAGGTGCCTTTTAAAATTACATTTTTCATCCTTTAGCGGGGAAAAAAAAAACCCTCTACTAAAAAGAGGGACCAGATCACACGCATCGAGGATCCCTCCCTCCCCTCCCCGAGATCCCCCCATGCACCGATCCTTCCCTCCCACCCCCTTCCATGGAAATAAATCAAACGAGCAGATCCAAACGATGCTCACAGATTGTATGTAACAAATCAGTTCAATTCGCTTCCCATGCTCTCCTTCTCAGCAGCCCGGCCTCGGCAGCCACATCGCGCGCGGGCGCGCGTGTGTGTGTTGTGTGTGTGTGTGTGGTGTGCGTGCGTGTGTGTGTGTGTGTGTGTGGTGGGTTTGTTTTCTGCTCCCAAGCGAAAGACACAGAAGAGACTTAGGTAGTTGTTTCCACTAGCCCCGATCGGACTGAACTGGATCTGCCTCCAGTCAAAACACTGTGAGATGAAGACAGAAAATTGGCTCCCGTTTCAAGCCGTGAGTTGCAGTCCCACAGGAGCCAAGCACAACAGCAGCGAAGCAGGCAGAATATTAAGCAGGAGCGGGACACCAGGGCCAGCGCCAGGCAGCGATCTGCCTCCCAGTGCAAACGCGAAGCGAGGGAGCAAACTTCCTGAAAGGGGCAACAGCTCAGCTCACTTTCCCCAGTTCACCTACTTCTTGGCACAGGAGTACAGAACAATGCACTGAGACGCAGCCTGGCCCCTCCCCCTCCTCCTCTCTCCAAGAAACTGGAATTTAGTTTTCTCCTCCTGCGTGTCTCAGGTCGGTGCTACTGCAGGAAGACAAGGACCCAAGGGGAGGCCGGTGGGGAATGGGGAGAGGGCGGGATGTGGTCCCAGCAATTCAAAGTGCGAGCAATTAAACTCTGCCTGGCTGGAGAAAGATATCAGAAGCAGCAGAAGTGAGCGATTAAGAAAAATAAATCGTCAACATCTGTCAGATACCTTAAGAACGCATCCGGAGTGCCACTTTCTTCAGAAATGGGCGAGTGCTGGCTTGCTGGATAACACTGTGGCTCGATCCTGTAGCCCTTACTCAAGCAGCAAATGTACATTCACTTCACATTGAATAGTGGGAGTCAGGTGGGGTTTCAACTAAAGTCTCTGGGAGTTTTGGCTGAGGAAGGACTACAGAATCCAACCGTAAATGTGCAATTTCAACTTCCCGCTATGAAACCAAATTATTATGTGGCTTGGAACTCCCTCCGGCACGGGGAAACACAACATACAGAATACTTTTAGTCCGTATTCTCATTGGTAGCATATTAGTTAAGCCTTTCTTTTTTCTGGAGAAAGAAACAATGCCCCCGCGGGGAATTATGGCCCACGACCTACCAGCCTCGTCTATTATATTATAGCTGTTAGTTACTCTATCTTATGTATTTACCATAAGAGTGCCCCCACATGGCCAGAGTAAGAGTAGTTCAGTCTCACCCAGGACTGAGAACCAGCTAAAAATCAAATGTATGCTACGGAAAAAGATTATGCTGTCATTGGAAAGCACCCATGAACTGATCTACTCATTAATCTGCCCTGAGCAGTCACTCACAGTTAGACATCAGTCTCCTGATGCTGGCACCATGTCAAGACTTAGCATTTGTCCTTAGAGAAAAGAGGTTGGAAGAAACCCTCTGCTGCTTTGGAGAAGTCAGGATTTCTTTGCATTTAATAACGTCTTATAAATCAGCATCTCTCGCAGATGCCTTTTTCTGACAGATGTTTTTATTAGCATAAAATTTGGAATCAAAGTTTTCAGTCCTGCTTTTTTTTAAACAATATTTCATTTCAAAGGGGTCTTTCTGTGTTTGAGCACAAACACATAGACAGCACACATGGAAAGAAGAACGGGCTGGGATGCTTTCTGCGCAGTTCTCAGAGTAGAAACAGATTAATCTTGGAAAAATACAATTTTGCAGACTGTTTTTAAAGTAAATTAACTGTGCCTGCTATTTAGAACATATAAAATTAATAGAGGGAAGTTGGTTTAACTTTTATATACAGCTACTGTCCATGAACAAAATCTGTTCTCTGTAACATTTTATAACATAATAAAAACATAAATAATCATCCATAGCATTTAATCTGTTGATCTCAAAGTACTTTACAAAGGTAAGTGTCCCTATCCCCAATTTTGCAGCAGAGAAACTAGTTTACATGCATAGAGGTTGAAGCCCAACATTTCAAAAGGGGCCTCTAATTTGGGGTGCCCTTACTTCCCACAAGTCCACTTGTCTTAAAAGAGAGTTTCGGGTACTCAGCACCTCTGAAAATCAGGCTCCAGGGGTCTAAAGTTGGATCCCAAATCAAAGGTAATTTCTGAAAAAAAAAAAAAGTTTCTAAGCACCACTTTCTGCCATGTTTACTCAAGATAAATAACACCTGACTGCCCACATAAGGACTTCAATGTGACTGCTTGCAGGTTAGGATACTATTCATCATGATTAAGGGTGACAGGATTTAGTCCAAGTGCTTTACCAGTCGGACAGCAAATCAGTGGCACAACGAGAAATAGAACCCAGGTCCCATTGTCTCCTAGTCACATTCGCAATCCATTTACACTACATTATTGTATGCAATATCTGGATTCAATCCAATTCGCATTTATTTCATTGAGACTTTTCAGAACAACATATGAATGGTGAGCTTCCATTAACGCGACTGGATATAAAAGGATAAAATATGTATACTGAGTGCACAGTACAGTTACTGTACAAAACTGCAGCAAAAGGTTGACATTTAGGGCTGAATTCAAATATTTTTAAATCCATTTTGGAGCCTTGTGTGGGCTTCAGTGGCAGTTTTTACTGAACCCAGCCCTTCATCCGTAGGCTACCACAACTTTTCCACGTTGTCAGCCAAATGCATGCAGCAGGAGGACACCCTGAGGCACCTACAGCAGCCTGAAGGTTAAAATGCCAAACTGTTTCTGCACGCAGTTTTATACCGTAAGACTACTATACATTGCTACTCGATTCCATTTGCTAGGATTCTCACTCACTATGCCTTCAGATTCATTATGATGTTAATGAGAGAACTCTAATGATGCCATTCACTTTACAACAAGTCTGATGCAATGTCAATGAAAAGGGCTCTTTGTACAGTTCTGGGATGCCTCTAAAAACAGAAGTTACATTTAAAATGCTTGTTACAATAATGCTGCAGGGTCTCGCTCAGATTAATAAAGACAAAACGAAATAGACTTCCAGGTCTCACTATTTACCATATATTCTAGCAATCCCAAAGTACAAAGGCATGATTTAAGGACAGGAGGGCTTTCTAAACACTGTATCGCCTTGCTTTTCCTAGCTGGATTAAACAATTGTTGAGCCATGTACTTAGGAAATAAATTTGCCCAAATGTTCTGGCTGTACCTGGTTAATATTTACATCGCTGTGGCACCCAAAAGCCCTATTGTGCTGGGCACTGTCCAACCATCTGCAAACCACAGTCCCTGCCCAAGGGAGTTTACAATCTCAGAAAACAAGTGCCAGACAAAGGGTGGGGGAAGAGAAATACAGTCAAATATATGCTATGTTTATATATACATTTACAAAAACTAGAAATAGTGTAAAGGAGTCCCTCCCCTCTTCAGCCTCGCCATTATGAATTGGCTGCTTTTTTGTAGGCAGCAGAGGGGGGCATTGGGGAGAGGCTGAAGGAGGAAATGGAAGTGCCCTTACAGCTCAGGCAGGGAGGGCTTTCCATGTGTAATGGCAAGATGGGATGCTCATGTGAGAAGTTGGCACATGGGTAAAGCAATGCCGGCGTCATGGCTGGCGTGGGGGAGGGACGACACCACACGAGAGGAGTGGGTCGGCAGGGGGCAGCAGAGTTGGGAAGGTCTTTGAAGGTGAAGCAAAGAAGCTTGAACTGGATGCAGGGAAAGAAGAAGGAGACAGTAGAGGGATTCCCTGTGGTCAGGGCAGTGAGCAAGGGAGATGATCCCTCAGCAGCTGTGTTTGAGCAGCTCAGACTGGAAGGATGTGGGTGTATGTCTGGACGGAAGCTACAGTAAGGAAGATGGGAGATGCTCAAGGCCTGGAGGACACAGCATGATGAGGATGGGTATTAGGAACGTCATGGCTGCAGCAGGAGCAAGATTTGTCCATAGCCTAGATGCAGCAAGAGAAAGGGAGGAGTCAAAGAAGATCCCTACGTTAAGGGTTTGGGTGACAGGGAGAATGGTTATGTTATCCCCAATGACCGAAAATGAGTCCAGCGCCCAGGGTTTGGTCATGTTAAGTTTGGTAACAGCGAGACTTCCAGGAGGAGAGAGCAGAGACACAAGTCAAGATGTGGGATTGCATTGGGTGGGGGAGGGGGACACATCAGAGTGGGAAGGAATTTCTGTCGTACCTGCTCCTTCTTTGTGATTATTAAATAATATTAATATATAGTAGCATCACAAATGTACCGTGTTTTATACATACAGATTCAGAGCTGGTCCCTACACTGGCCAGCTTTCTGTCAAACAAACAAACAAAAAGGCACAAGGCAAAGTACTTGACAACGGTTAAGGTGTGGGGATTATTAATGAAGAGGAGTAAGCAGGAGTTGACTGAAGAGGTTAGTTTGAAAGAGAAGAGAGAAGATGCTACACAGATCAGAAGGGAGACTGTTTCAGACAGAGGCAGCCTGATAGAAGGTATGGAACAGAGTGTGGAACAAAAAGGTAAAGGGAGAAATAAAGTGAAAGGGGGGGAAAGTGCAAGGAGGAGAAGGGGAAGAAGGAGAAAATGAAACTAGGAATGTAGATGGGAACAAAATCATTCAGGGCCTTGCAGATGTGTGATTTTCCATTCATTCATATGCATGCTGCACTGGAAATGTAGATAAAAGCTACTGGGCATACATATGCATGTGCCAACAGCAGTGACAGAGTTAAGTCAGGTCTGAAATACCTAGACTGCCAGAACAACAGATCTACACGCCAACAGGGTCAATTCATCTCTTCATCCCTCTGAGGTAGATAAACTACAGACCTGCCAAGTCTAGTGTTTTTCCCTGTCGTTTTTGGCCCTTAATTCAGGGAAACTCAAGCAATCCACTATTTTTTTCTGATGCCAGACTCCCAGCTCAGTGCGGGGGGAATTCACATGAAATCAGAGAATGATTTGTGTGTTTTAAGAAATAGCTCTGGCATGAAAATGCTTGTAAATCATCATCTGCTTCCTTGATTTCTCTCCTAATTTAGATTATCCAAATCCAGATGCTCCAGCCTCTCTCACAAAACCTAATTCTAAGAATATTTTCTCCCATCTTTTTCAATGGACGCGTGCCTCAGATTTTTCATTTAATTCCCTTCCTCCTGGAATTTTCCTATGGCAACTTCTTGGGGCTACATTTTGGGGGTTTCTTGGGGCTATTGAGTTGTTCCCTGAGTTTAGACAGCAAACGGTTCCATAGGAGAAAAAATGCACTTTCTGGATTTTTGATTTTTCAGTGTATGACCTTAAGATCTTATTACCACTTATTTTCAGAAGCCAGAACACAACTGTTTTAAATATTTTGACTTCCTGCATTTCCCTTTGATATTTTGGGATTAATTAAGTAGTATTAACAGATACTCCTCCCCATCTGTTTTCTTACTACTTGTCACCATTAAAGAGAAGAAGAATCGCAAGGACAGCTTTTTAAATTATTTAATTATTGGGATTTAAATAGAGTATATTGCACCTCTCAGGTGCTCCCTC